TTTATTTTGGAATCTGTTATTATAAGCAGTAAATCACAGTGAATCAAGCTTCATAAACCTCCAACCTCTACCTTCTCATTGAAATAAAAATGGAATCACAGACCTTTACATTTTCAAAACCACATCTTGAAGAAAGCCAGCGTGACAGTGAAGTTTTGGACTTTTAAGACCTAAGACTATACCATCTCTTTTGTAATCACCATTTCTGTGTGTGCCTGTGTGTACATGCCTAGGTGTGTCTGTGTGAGAGGCTGCTGTTGTGAGTGCATTTTGGATGTTGAGTAATAAATATTTACCCTTTTTAAGACCCTTTAAGGAAATGTGCCACTTATCTATTCTTGAAAGTTACAGCACTTAGGGCATTAAAGCACTTATTTTTTAAAAACACATCTATAGTGTCTTTGGTTAGTTAAAAGCTTGAAAACTATGGGTACACAGGTAGGGTAGGATTGGGTGGGGGACCATCGCACCTTCTCTCACCAAGTATAACGATGTTGTTGATTCTTTTGCCAATCACTATAAATCAGTTCTCTAGTTCTCAACACTTATGCCAATGGGTATATTTTCTCTATTTCTGTTCTGCCGAGATACCTCATGAGATTGAACACCTATCAAATTTTCCCTCAATGTTATCTTCTCTATGGAGTACAGCACCAGCCTCTTCAGTCTATCAACATAACTGAGGTGCCTCATCGTTGGAACAATTCCTTCTATAATTTTCTGCCCCTTCTCTAAGTTTCCTTCTTATTCTTCCTACAGTCCTTCAAGATGGCACTGGAGCGTCCCGAACAGATTATCTCCTTGCATCTACTATAGTCGCTGTACTCTTTTATACCTCATTTCTAAGTCTGTCAGAATTACTAACAACGCTGTCTTCTTTCTCTGCACCTTCTCTGTAGCTGTGACACTATATCATGCATTCTGTTCTATTACCCTGATGTACTTCCGTAATGTATGATTTGTCTGGATAGCATGCTGTACAATACTTTTAATTTTGGTATATTTGACAATAATAAATCAAGTCAAAGTGTAGAAGGTAAAAGGTTATCTCAGTTGGATGGATAGCTAGTTTGTGATGAAGAATGATGCCAACAACATGGGTTCAATTCCTGGGCCGAAGGATTATAGGAGTGAGCACCTTTCCATTGCAGCTGCCAACCTGCTCATGGATGTAGTCAGACAATCACACGAGTTGCTGCAGAGCTGCATTCTCTGGCCAACAGGGGCCATTGCCTCCCACATACCTGTCTGCCATTCCTGCCTGTGCGTTCACATAAAATCCCTGTTTGTCAGCACCACTCTCCTGCCTGGGGTCTGAGCCGGTGCCTGGTCTCTGGTTGTCCACTGAGGGCCAGTGGCCTGGGAACTTTCTTCCTTGGCCATCTGTAGAGGTGGTTCACTAGATTGTGCCCACAATTTCTGAGTCTAACATTCTACCCGAATTGCCAGTATCTGAGCTGGTGGGCATGCAGGAAGCACTCATCCCTAGAGATTGAGGAGGTGGCTTCTGGGGGAGCTGGCAGGTTTCACTTCGACAGTAATGGAGATTCTGGCAGTACCTGCAACAGAAAAGAGAGAGAAGACATTACAGCCAATGGTTTGAAGTGCCATGCAGTGAATTACACTGGCAACAGGATTAATATGAGATTTGTAATGGGACTAAGAATGGTATTTACTCATCTGGTGGCCAATGGATATTTTGGCATCCCTGCAGGAGCAGTCCAGGTTTTCTCCTTTGAGGACCAAGATTCTTTCCTCATGTGGGATGAGGAACCTAATGTCAGGCAACCCTCCACCCAATTGGCTCCCTCTGCCCTGTTTTGGGCTGTCTTCTTTTGTAATAAGCAAAAGAAGGAATTGAATGAGATGAAAGTGAATGGCACATCTGTTAGTCCTGGTGCAGGTGGATGAAAGGTGATGGAGTTTTCCATGGGAATGAAGAGGCAATGCAGAGGGCATGCAGGGTTGTGGTGTGGAGATTGGAGGGGAGGGAAATTGGTGAGAAAACATGAGGGAAGATTTTATAGATAATACTGAGAGTGGCTGAGCATGAGCTTTGGTGGAAGGTCAGTCCAGTGGCAGAGATAGAATAAGTGTGAAGTGGCAAGAAAGCAATATAAAAGCATATGAAATAGGATCTGGAATAGGCCATTCAGCCCTTCATGCATGCCCCGTCATTCTATATAATCTTGGCCGATCTGCCTAAGGCCTCAACTCTTCTTTTGTGCCAGCTCCTCATAGACTTCAAATTTGCAGTGTTTCAAAAATATATCTAATTTCTCCTTCAAACTTTCAGTAGTCTAGCCTTCATAGATCTCTGAGGTCGAGAATTCAAGGCATTCACTACTATATGGGCAAATAAATTCCTTCACATCTCAGTTTTACATGAGTGTCTCCTTATTTTGTTACTCTGTTCCTAATCTGAGATCCCTTCAATAGTGGAAAAATCTCCTCAACATCTACCCTGTCAAGCCCGTTCATATTCATGGGTGTTTCAATAATATCATTCCTCAGCCTTCTAAACTTAAATGAATAAAGTGCTATTCTTGATATATCAACCCTTAATTCCAGAAATCTGCGTATTGAACTTCTTTTGAACTCCATCCCATGCCAGTATATCCTTTTGAAATACACAGGCCAAAATTCTACATAGTACTCCAGATGCAAACTCACCAACATCCTGTACAATTGTAGTAAAACTTCCTGAGTTTTAACTCCCACCATCTAGCGATAGACGCCAAATGTCCATTTGCCTTCTTAATTGCTTGCTGCATGTTAACTTTTTGTGTTTCATTCACAAGGATACCTGAATCCCTCAGCACTGAATTTTTGGCATCTTTCTCCATTTAAATAATAGTCTGCCCTTTGACTGTTCCTACCAAAGTGCATGAGTTTACACTTGGATGCAGGCCATAAGCTCCGGGTGACTAGTCTACCTTTAGTCACATTACTTTGTCAAATCCCTTGCGAACAAGACTGTTACAACATTTTCCCTTCCATTAGCATTCTGTTTCTCTGTTATCTTTTGGATGTTTATTGTGTCTTCGATCATGAAGATCAATGCAAAATATTAATTTAAATTATTTGCCATTTCCCAGCTCAATTCACCAGTTGCATCCTCCAAAGGTCCAACACTAAATTTAGTCACTCTCTTTCTTTTTATATATGCGTAGAGGATCTTACTGTTCGTTTAGATATTCCTTGCCAATCTACTGACAAAATTAATTTTCTCCCTTTTTATTAGCTTTAAGTCATCTGATGTTGGTTCCTAAACAATTCCCAATCCATTGGGCAACCATTAGTTTTCACCACTTTGTATGCCTTAGCTTTTGATTTGATAATCTTCTTGACTGCTTTTGTTAACCATGGGTGGTTCATTCTTCTCATCAAGCCCTTCTTTTTGATGGGGACACATTTTTGCTTAGTGTTACAAATTGTCTTCTTAAATGTCTGGCATTGCTCACTTACAGACCTTCCCTTAGCCTCTTTAAAGAACTCTTAATACCACTGTAATTGCCCTTAATTTTGGTGGGGACTCTGGTTTGAGACCCAAATTGCTCTCTCTCAAACTGAATTTGAAATTCTATCATGTTGAGATAATTACTCCCGAGAGGATCCTTAACTACAATATCTCTTATTGATCCTACCTCATTATACATTACTGGGTCTAAAATAGTCTTTTCCCTGGTAGGACGTGTAGTGTACTGTTCTAAGAAACAATCCTTGATGCATTCTACAAATTTGTCTTCCAGGTTATGCTTGCACATCTGATTTGTCCAGTAAATATGCAGATTAAAATTACCCATGACAACTGTGGTGCCTGTCATGCACACCTCCATTATTTCCTTATTTACACTTGATCCTTTGGTGAGGCAACTCTTCCAGGGCCTATAGGAGACTCCCACCCATCATGTCTTTCCCTTGCTATTTCTTAATTCGACCTGAATTGATAGTCCATCACAATCCATTGCATCTACATTACTACTCACTGCATTGATACCTTTCTTTATTAACAAAGCGGTTCCACATCATTTTCCTTTGTGCCTATTCCTTTGGAATGTTTTGAGGAGGTGGTGGCATAGTGGCAATGTCCATGTGCTAGTAATCCAGAACCCCAAGCTAATGTTTTGGGGACATGGATTCGAATTCCATGGTAGATGGTGAAATTTGAATTCAATAAATCTCTAGAATTAAAAGCTGCCCTCATAGTAAACATGTAAACATTGTTGTTAAAAACTCACCTTCTTCACTAATCTCATTGGGGAAGGAAAGCTGCCATCCTTATCTGTTCTAGCCTGCATTTGACTGCAGACCTACAGCATCATGGTTGACTTCTAACTACCTCCGTTGGTAATAAATTTTGGCCTAGTCAGTGATGAGTAAAATAAGAATATCTTTGACTATTGAGACCCCAGTCCTGGTCATTCTGCAAACATGTTTATATAATAGTTACCAAGCCATTTTTTTTTCTGTTTGAAATTTCAACTCATCTATCTTATTACAAATTCTCCATGCATTCAGATAAACAGCATTAAGCTTTGACTTTTTAATCATTATTATTTATCTGGTTCTAATTTCCGTTGCAATCTTTTGCTTATATTTATTGTACTTTCCTGTGAAAATTTGATTATTGTTCACTTTTTTACTGCACTACACCTCTGTGCTCTCATTTCTTTTTAATTTTTTAAGCTTCACCGCAGTTGAACCCTCCCCACCACTAATTAATTTAAATCCATATCTAAAAGCTTAGTTATACAATCTGCCAGGACACTAGTCCCAGCATGGTTTAAATGAAGCCTGTCCCAACAGATCTCTCTTTACCTTGTAGCAATGCCCACCCTCATGTATCAGAGCCCATTTTCTCACACCAATTTACTTTACTCATCTTATTTACCAAACGCCAAATTGCTAATGGCTCAGGTAGTAATCTATGGATTATTACTTTTGTGTTTCTGCTTTCTAATTTAGCTCTGCACTGCCTGTAATCTCTCAGCAGAACCTCTTTCCTAGTCCTACTTATTTCATTGGTGTCTACGTGGACCATGACAACTGGACCCTTCCCAATCCAGCCTCTCCAGCCCAGAGGAGATGTCCTGAACCTTACTGCCAGGTAGGTAATACAGCCTTCAGGATTGTCTGTCTTTGCTGCACAGAATAGTAATTGTTCTCCTAACAATGCCACGTCCTAATACTACTACATTTCCCTTTACTTCTCTGATTTGAACGGGGCTCTGTAACGTAGTGCTGTGGTCAGTTTGCTCATCCTCCCTGAACTGTGCCCTTGTCTACCCCAGGAACAAGAAACATGACAATAAAAACAAAATCTAAAACTTTTACCAGTTGGACAATGGCATTGGCTGAGGCTCCACTCCTGCCTTTTTCATACAAGTACGCTGTCCCAATTTACTTTATCGTGATCCTGACATGCTGCACTCTTCCCAGTCTGCTTCACAGTGAAGCTAAATTGCTGCACAGTCCTCACAGTTTCGTTCATAGTGATGCTGGCCTGCTGTGCTCACCCTGGCACAGCAGAGAAGGTTGTTGACCTTCTCACAGCACTGATGGTCATTCCTCTGGACAGCAGAGATAGCACTAACAGGTCATTCCTCTGGACAGCAGAGATAGCACTAACCCTGGTGGCGACCTCAGTCCAGGTTGTCAGCAGGCAAAGTCCTCCATAAGAGGAGACACCTCCTTTGCACCTCCCTCTCAAACAGAACCCCTAGGTCGCTATTGGAGAATCACAGTGTCATCTTCCCTTCTTCTGTCGCCTTCTGCAAATGTCCTTCAATAGGGCAAGGCAGCTTCGGAATGCTACTGCTCGTCCATACACACAATGACCTTATGGAAATGATGCAGCTGCAATGCATGCCAGTCTTTTGGTAGATATCTGCTAACGGGTGTGTTGCTCTGGAAATGACGTGGTAAGATTGGCCAGAATTGGCCATGACAGACGCCATAGTGTGGCATGGATAGTTGATTCGGCAAATTTGGTAAGTTACAGTGAGAAAGTCCACTTTGTCTTTTGGCAGAAATCGCACCAATAACTCAACACAACTTGGATTTATGCATGTGTTTAAAGCCCTCCTAGAGACATAGACCTGAAGGACACCTCTGAGAAAAGCAGTTGTTCCAACTAAGAACTAGAAAGGTGAAATTTTTATTATTCATTTGTGTGACATAGACACTGCTGGTTGGCCAGCATTTATTGCCTGTCCCTACTTGCCCTCGCGAAGGTGGTGGTGAGCTGCCTTTTTGAACTGCTGCAGCCCACATGTAGGCTGACCCTTAGGGAGGGAACTCTAGAATATTGACCCAATGAAATTGAAGGAACAGTGATGTATTTCCGAGTCAGGATGGTGAGTGGCTTAGCCTTATCTTTTGCACTGATGTCCATTGTGGATGGGGATATTTGTGGAGTCTCCTCCTCCTCCAGTGAGTTGTTTAATTGTCCACCACCAATCATGACTGGATGTGACAGGTCAGCAGAGCTTACATCTGATCTGCTGGTTGTGGGATCACTTAGCCTTGTCTACCACTTATGCTTATGCTGTTTGGCATTCAAGTCATCCTGTTTTGTAGCTTTGCCAGGTTGACACCTCATTTTTATGTATGCCCGGTGCTGCTTCTGGCTTGCCATTGCCACACTCTCCATTAAACCAGAATTGACCCACTGGCTTGAAGGTAATAATTTAGTGGGGGATATGCCAAGCCATGAGGTTACAGATTGTGCTGGAATACAATTCTGCTGCTGTTGATGACCCACAGCACCTCATTGATGCTCCATCTTCAGTTGCTAGATTTGACCCATTAAGCAGGTGAAAGTGCCACACAACACAATGGACGGTATGCTCAATGAAAAGGCAGAACTTTGTCTCCACAATGGCCACTCTTACTGATACTGTCATGGTTTCATGGTAAATATTGGATTCTTAATTTCAGATTTTGTTTTTATTGAATTGGAATTCCAGTATCAGCTGTGATGAGATTCAAACCTGGATCTCCAGGACATTAGCTGAGTTTCTGGATTAATAGTCTACTGATAATACCACTAGGCCACTGCCTCCCCATATCAGGAACAGTGAGTATAATCCTAAATACAGATAATAATAGTGACATTTTCAAAATCAGGAGGTAAATGTTACGAAAAGTAGTGTGCCATAAATACATTTTATATTTTCACTTCAAATTTAGTAATATGATTACAGAGGAAATAGATAACATTATGCCCAGATAAATGTACACTTAATATATTGCAATTAATTTACTGTGGTCTATTACAAATTGAGTTGGTAAGTATAGTTTTCTTTTAACTGCATGCACTGTTCTCACAGCTGCTCTGTCTCTGTCTCTCATATGTGGCTTCTGTCTCTTTTTCTATCCTAATCCCCTTCTTTTATCTTCACTTTTCCCTCTTTTTCTTTCAGTACATCCATCATTTTTTTCTTACTTTGAGAGGATAATCCAACATCATTTGATGGCATGTCAGGGAAGCCTAACAGGCATGTAATAAATTTATCATTAGAACCTCCACTGGAGCACTATGTACCACCATCATTAGTCATAACAATCTGTCAGACTTTCCAAAACCATTTCCAATTGCAATAGGACACTAGAATCAGTTATACAACAATCAATGGAAGTTTGACTTTAAAGATAAATTTTGGAGTCATTTCCTTCAATGTTTTACAGCTAAGAAGGAATTTCTCAGCTCATGGAAACATCTATAAAAGGCAATTGGAACTGATTGATCTGCTGTGGATGTAAAAGGAACCAATGTTTTATTTTTCTTCTCTCTAAGCATCAACCTTTGAAGTGTTTGAATTGTTGAACCTTCACACATAAGAATTGTTGTTTATTCCCCTAACCATAACAGTCTAAATGCAGCCAATGAAATAAGGATCATTAAAGCACTCATAAAACACTACCTTCATAGTAAAATGATTGAAGCCATTGATTAACACAGTGGTGATATTGCTTTTTACTAGACTTATTAACTTAGTAAATTCAGTATATCTATTACTTCCTGTGGGGATAGGCGTAGACCTGTAGATATGCATTTCAAACTGATTTTATTAGGTTATATGACCATAGTGGAAACAACATTGCTGTGCCTCTAGTGTCAACTGATGTGACACTGAATTCAACATGCTATTGAACATGGACATACAAGGATTTACAATCAGCTGTTGAACCCAGATGTGAGGAATGAAATACAGTTGGAAAATCACAGCAATGTAAGCAACAATGAAATAGCTGTCATGCCAGTATGGGATGAAGTAAAGGAGTGTTTATTAATTGTGTTCTCTGTCTTGGAAGTGGAGAAAGAATGTCCTGATGAACTGTGCATTTTACTACTCAGATAGCCTGGTTCTTTGTTTCCAAGAATGACCTAAACTGAGGAATTCCAGATATACCATTACTGCATTTCTAACCCATGCATTTGTGTTGTTTGCTTGCTGTTTTTGCTCTTCCCTGCTTTGAGAATGCATGCTGCTCTGACCTGTCTGGTGTAGTGCATCAGCATATTGTAGATGCAAGGAGACGTTGTTCTTTAGCAGAAGACTGTGCTCACTATGAGATGATTGAAATGAGGTAATAGTCAGAAATACAGCATCTACAATTCTCACAACTACAAGAAGTTACTTTTGATTATAGAAGCTCCCAGCAGGTCAGCTTCAATCATTTTACAAAATTTAATAATTGCCACTCTGGAGATTTTCAACATCTTCAAACACTTCAAACATTTACCCCAGTTATGGCATTGTAACCATGTCAGTACAAATTGATATCTGAACCACAACAGTATGAGTGGCAGTCTTATTGTCAGTACACAATGTCATCCTAACCATGTCAGTACAAACTGGCATCTTAATCATATCAGTACAAACTGGCATCTTATCTATGTCACTACAAACTGGCATCCTAACCACATCAGTATAAGCTGGCATCCTTAACTGCATCAGTACAAACTGCCATCCTAGCCATGTCAGTACAAGCTGTCATCCTATGACAGTACAAGCTGGTGTACTTACCATGACAGTACAAGCTGTTATGAAATGCCAATTAAGCTAATTAATGTAGGGTGGATCCAATTGAAGTGTACTTCCTTTTGCTCATGCTGAAAATTACTCTAGTTCAACACATGCAGTAATATAACAATCTCTTCACTAACTATTCCAAGCAGCACGTTGCATCTATCAGAACAGTTTAACATAAGAATTGGGATTACCAGGAATTATGAACAGTTTTTGGCTATCTTCTCAATAAAAGATTAGAGCACTAATTTCCAAACATTGCATTCCAGATGGAAGCTTTGCCAATCAAATGGGCACACTGGAAATTCTGGTACAACAATAATTGATTTTCTGAGAAATTAATGAACGTTATAATGATAGTCAGTGCTGGACAGTGTGGATTAAAATTGATCCACACAGCTAGAAAGTTGTTTTCATTGTCCGAAACCATTTACATTATGTTAAGAGTTCCAATGTCATCTGCACATATGTCTTTATCCATGATGCCCTCTTTATTTAACACAGCTACCAGATCCATCATTCACACCCAGTGATGAAACCTGCTGCAAAATCTTGCCAAAACTACTTTATTGAATAACAATTTCTGCAGTGCAAAAATATTTAAAATTTCTAATCACTGCACTGTTTTTCAATGTAACTTTCCCCAACTGACAGCGTGCAAAATATTATCTTTGCTCTATGATTTACTTAGCTACTACTTTGGTGGTAAAGGGTGAGAAGTTATTTAGCTGTTGTATGAAGGTACCCTCACTTCAAGGCGTGTGTCTCAGCATTTTCTGGAACGTCTAAAGATACTCAGATTGCAACAGTATCTTGATGCAGCTTCAATAGACAAAGGTATGGGATAATAGCTTTTAGTTTATAGCTTTCTGACAGTTAATGAATAGAAAAATACAAAGGGTAGGAGTTGATATTAAGCTCTTTTCAAGCCCTTTTAAGTCCTTTCCCATCTCTTGCAGTTTTTACAGCTTCTTTTTCAATGATTGGACAACTTTTCATATGAATTAGCAGATGTAAGGTAAGGGTGGTCTACTTCCTGTGAGTGTTCTCACATGTTGCCATGGGCTGCACTTTTTTCCACAATATGAAAGCAAGGATGGTTCTGGTAATTTGGATGAAATACAGCATCATCCAGATATCTGCATAAGGATGTAGTACTTGTGACCACATGTACATGGAACATTCAGCAACTTTAATTGAGAGGATTCCTTTGGGCTGAATATTTGTGAGGATGTTAGTGAGGAAATATTTCCAGATGAATGCTTTGAGTGTAAAGACATCTTCACTCTTTCATGGGTATGAATAATTCGCTTTGATAGTATTTTAAGGGGGAGGCAGTAGTGTAACAGCAACATCACTGGACTAATAATCCAGAACATGTATTATTCAAATACAAATTCAGATTTAAAAGCTAGTCTAATGGTAACCATGACACCATTGTTCTTGTTGTAAAAACCCACCTGGTTCACAAATATCCCTTAGGGAAAGAAATCTGCTGTTCTTACCTGGTCTGGCCAACATATGACTTCAGACCCACAGCAATGTGATTTATTCTTAGCTACCCTATGAGTAACTAATGCTGGTCCAGCCAATAATGCCAACATCCCATGAATAATAAAGGAAGACTGTGTGAGAAGTAGGTAATTTTACAAACCAAATATAGTCAGTATATTGCATTACTTGTATGTGGGTTCTCATAGTTAGTTTGATCAAGTCATTATGCTCTTACTGTGTTTTTGAATACATGGTTAAATATGGTAGAGCTGTACTTAGCTTCTGTCAGTGCCTTATGAAGGCTGTTAGATCATTGCACATATTAATGACCCTTATATTTCCAGTAATCAAACAGCACTGCAAAAGAGCGCTGTAATGTACGCTCGATCAAAATTGCAAATTGGAGTTCAGGGACCAATCGGAATTTTTGCTGTTTATGATCTTCATTCTTTAGGTTCAAATTCCCTTCCATCACTTGATGGTAAATGAAGTTGTGTTCATAATATAGATATAGGCATAGAATAAGAGGCAACAAAAAGTGGGAGTAAATGGGTCTTTTTCCAGGTAGTACACAGTGACGAGTGCTGTGCCACAAGGATTAGTGCTCAGGCTGCAGTTATTCACAAAATATACAAATAACGTGAATGAGGGAGCCAAATGCAATATGTCCAAGTTTGTTGATGACATAAAACTGGGCAGGATGGTGAGGTGAGGATGATGCAAGGAGGCTTCACAGTGATTTAGACAAGTTCACATGGCAGATATAGTACAATGTGGTTAAATGTGATTAAAGCAATTCTGGTAAACTAGTATTCATTGTAAGAGGATTTAATTTCAGAAGTAGGAATGTTTTACTGCAGTTATACAGGACCTCGGTGAGACCACAGGTGAAGGATTATGTACAGTTTTGGACTCCCTACCTAAAAAGGATATATTTGCCATACAGAGAGTGCAATGGAAGTTCACTAGGCTGATACTGAGAATGGCAGGATTCTCCTGTGAGGAAAGAATTGTGTGATCGGGACTGAATTCACTTGAGTTCAGAAGAGTGAAGGGGCATCTATTGAAAATCTAACAGGGCAAAACAGATTAGATGCAAGGAAGATGTTTCTTCTGGTTAGGGTGTCTATAACCAAGATTCAGTCTTAGAATACACGGTAGGCCATTTAGCATGGACATGAGGAAATATTTCTTCACTCAGAGGGTGATCAACCTGTGGAATTTGCTACTACAAGAGATTGTGGAGGCGAATTCACTGAATATATTCAAGAAATATATAGATTCATTTTTAAACATTAAATGTATCAAGTGATACAGAGAGAAAGCAGGAATATGACATTGAGATTGAGGATCAGCCTTGATCATGTTGAATTGTGGAGCAGGCTCAAAGAGCTGAATAGCTTATTCCTGCTGCTAGTTTATATGTCTATGTCTATATTATGAATACAATTTCTTTTACCATCAAGTTACTCTAAGCTTTTATATGGGACCTTTTAAAGAGCTTTCTGAAAATCTGAATGCAGCACGTCCACTGGCTCTCCCTTATCTATTTTACCAGTTACATCGTAAAAACTCCAACAGATTTGCTAAACATGATTTGCCTTTCATAAATCCATGCTGACTTTGTCCAATCCCATTTGTGACCAAACATATTTAGTACCAAGCTGTAAATCGTTCTAGCATGTGTTCATGATCAGTGGTAAAGGTGGAAGAAATTCCTGGTCAGCCATGTAAGGGAAAGAAAATGGGACCTTTTTTTATCTATTTATGGGATGAAGGCATGGCTGGCTGAGTCAGCATTTATTGTTCATCCCTAGTTGCCCTTGAGAAGATTGCGGTGAACTGCCTGTTAAGCCAGTGCAGTTCATGCACTAGGTAGACCCACAATGTCGCTAGCAAGAGAGTTCCAGGATTTTGACCCAACAATGGAGAAGAAATGGTGATATGTTTCTAAGTCAGCATGGTGAGTGCCTTGAAGGGAAACTTGTAGGTGGTGATATTCCCATACATCTGCTGCCTTTGTCCTTCTAGATGGAAGTGGTTGTGGATTTGGAAGGCATTGTACAAGGCTCCTTGGTGAATTTCTGCAGTGCAATTTTAAGACACAACACATTGATGCTACTGAGTGTCAGTGATGGAAAGAATGAATATTTGCGGCTGTGGTGCCAATCCGCGGCTGCTTTTCCATGGATGGTGTCAAACATTTTGAGTGTTATTGAGACTGCACTCATCCAGGCAAGTGGGGAGTATTTCATCGCACTTCCAATTTGTGCCTTGTCGACCTGGATGGGATTTTGGCAAGTCAGAAGGTGAGTTACTTGTTGCAAGATTTATAGCCTCTGACCTGCTCTTGTAGCCACTGTATTTATAAGGGACCTCCAGTCAATTTCTGGTCAATGGTAATCACCAGGAGGTTGATCATGGGGGAATTAAGTGATGGTACTGCCATTAAGTGACAAGGGATAATTGGTAGATTCTCTCTTGTTAGAGATGATCATTTTCTGGCACTTGTGTGGTGTGAATGTTCTGTGTCCATTTTCAGTCCGAACCTGGATATTGATGTTGATGAAGATGGTCGGGCCTAGGACACTACCCTGAGAACTCATGCATAGATATCCAGAAGCTGAGATGACTGACTTCAACAACCACAACCATCTTTCCATGTGCCAGGTATGTCTCCAACCAGTGAAGAGTTTGCCCCCTGATATCCATTGATTCCAGTTTTGCTAGGGCTACTTGATGCCACATGCAGTCAAATGCTACCTTGATGTCAAGGGCAGTCACTCTCATCTCACTTCTGGAATTTCAGCTCTTTTGTCCATGTTTGAGCCAAGGCTGTAGTGAGATCAGGAGTTGAATGGCCCCTGACGGAAGCCAAACTGGGCAACAGTGGGCACAGGCAGCGTTGGTGATAATACTTGATGGTGCAAAGACAAAGAGCACATCAAACAATGCTGGGGGGAGTACATTGCTGAATAGGTGCTGCTTGGTAGCACTGCTGATGGCACCTTCCATCATAATCGAGAATAGATTGATGGGGTGGTATTTGTCTGGATTGCATTTATCCTTTTTTTATGTACAGGAAATATCTGTAATTTTCCCTATTGTTGGATAATTGCCAGTGTTATAACTATAATGGAACAGCTTGGATTGGGGAGCGGCAAGTTCTGGAGCATGAGTACTAATACCTGAATATTGTCAGGGCCCATAGCTTTGCTGTATCCAGTGCCTCTAGCTGATCATTCACTTGGCATTTCTGGCTGAAGATTGTTGCAAATTATTCAATATTAATGTTTGCATTGATATGCTAGCCTCCCCCATCATTGAGGATGGGGACATTTGTGGACCCTCCTCTCCAGTCAGTTGTTTAATTGTCCACAATCATTGACGACTGGCTGTAGCATAGTGTGCACACTTCAAGTCTGATTCATTGGTTGTGGAGTTGCTTAGCCTTGTCTATTACTTGCTGTTTATGGTGAAGGTCATATAAATCAACCTGTTTAGTAGCTTCACCATGGTGACACCTCACGTTTAGTTATATCAATGCGTCTCCTGCACTCTCCATTGAACCAGGATTGAGTCCCTGGCTTGATGATAATGGTTGAGTGAGGGATATGCTGGGCCATGAGGTTGCAGGTTGTGCTAGAGTGCAATTCTGCTGTTGCCCACAGTGCCTTATGGATGCCCAGTCTTAAGTTGGTGGATCTGTTCAAAGTCTGTCCCATTTAGCACAGTGATAGTGCTACATGACATTATGTAAGGAATTATTATTGTGAAGAGGGGACTTTGTCTCCAAAAGGACTATTTAATGGTCAATCCTACTGATTCTGTCATGAACAGATGCATCTACAGCAAGGTGTAGAGCTGGATGAACACAGCAGGCCAAGCAGCATCAGAGGAGCAGGAAGGCTGACGTTTCGGGCCTAGACCCTTCTTCAGAAATGGGGGAGGGGAAGGGGATTCTGAAATAAATAGGGAGAGAGGGGGAGGCGGATAGAAGATGGATAGAGTAGACGATAGGTGGAGAGGAGACAGACAGATCAAAGAGGCGGGGATGGAGCCAGTAAAGGTGAGTGTAGGTGGGGAGTTAGGGAGGGGATAGGCCAGTCCAGGTTGGACGGACAGGTCAAGGGGGCGGGATGAGGTTAGTAGGTAGGAAATGGGGGTGGGGCTTGAGGTGGGAGGAGGGGATAGGTGGGAGGAAGGACAGGTTAGGGAGGCGGGGACGAGCTGTGCTGGTTTTGGGATGCGGTAGGGGGAGGGGAGATTTTGAAGCTTGTGAAGTCCACATTGATACCATTGGCCTGCAGGGTTCCCAAGCAGAATATGAGTTGCTGTTCCTGTAACCTTCGGGTAGCATCGTTGTGGCACTGCAGGAGGCCCAGGATGGACATGTCGTCTGAGGAATGGGAGGGGCAGTTGAAATGGTTTGCGACTGGGAGGTGCAGTTGTTTATTGCGAACCGAGCGTAGGTGTTCTGCAAAGCAGTCCCCAAGCCTCCACTTGGTTTCCCCGATGTAGAGGAGGCCACAACGGGAACAGCGGATGCAGTATACCACATTAGCAGATGTGCAGGTGAACATCTGTTTGATGTGGAAAGTCTTCTTGGGGCCTGGGATGGGGGTGAGGGGGGAGGTGTAGGGGGGG